CTGCTCGGTAGCATGGAAGCGGAAAGGGATCTTGGAGTCCTAGTGGACTCGAAAATGAATGTGAGTTGTAAGTGTGTCGAAGTCATCAGCAAAGCTAACTGCACTCTATCGTGAATCAGCAGATGTATGACAAACAGAACCAAGGAGGTGATACTTCCCCTCTATCGGGCGCTGGTCAGACCACAGTTGGAGTACTGCATGCAGTTTTGGGCGTCACACTTCAAGAGGGACGTGGATAACCTGGAGAGGGTCCAGAGGGCCACTCGTATGATTAAGGGCTTGCAGGCCAAGCCCTACGAGGAGACACTAGGGCACTCGCAAGAGGAGGTTGAGAGGCGACCTTGTGGATGCCTACAAATTCATCATGGGGGCACAGAAGGGAATTGGTGAGGCTCTACTCACCAAGGCGCCCCGGGGGTCACAAGAAACAATGGCCGTAAGCAAGCAGAGAGCAGATTTAGACTGCACATTAGGAGGAACTTCTTCACAGTTAGAGTGGCCTAGGTCTGGAATGGGCTCCCAGGGGAGGTGGTGCTGTCCCCTACCCTGGGGGTCTTCAAGAGGAGGTTGGATGGGCATCAGGCTGGGGTCATCTGAACCCAGCACTTTCCTGTCTATGCAGGGGGTCAGACTTGATGATCTATTGAGGTCCCTTCTGACCCTAACATCTATGAATCTATAAATAAACGACATTTAGGTCACAGGTTGTTCATTGCATGCTTTCTTTTGGCATTTGCTCTGAGAGTTGTTGTTATGATTGGCTGTTGAAGCCACAATGTTGTTCCTCAAAATGAAACCTCAGGTGAATAAAAAAGGGTGACTTCCTTTCACTTGCGTTTCCCCGGGGTGTGGGCTGTGCCTAACCCCATATGAATGATTCTGGAATATTAATCAGATGTTGATCATTTGTCAGTGTTAACAAGTATTCACTATGCATATGTGAATGCACATTAACTGCTGTTCAGCAGGATGTACTTGTAGGGCAATTAGGAACACAGAGCTGGAAGTGACCCCCTCCTGGCCAGTAAGTCTTGTTCCTTGCCTTTGCAGGTAGCCATTTCTCCTCAAGGACATCCACACACTGCACCATAAAGCTTCTCATTTAAAAGGAGAAAAACCCCAGAACGTGGCATAGGGAACAGAGCAGAAGGGACAATGAAAGACTGCCACAGCAAGGAATGTGTTGGATAAAATATCCTCAGATGATTCTAAGAAGTGGATCAAACCCCACACACAAGGAAGGCAATACCCCCCCCCGCAAGCCTAGTTGCAGACAGGACAGTCATTGATCTTTGGGCTCTATCCTCAGTCGTCATATCTGACATAATTAGCTGGTGCTGAAGAAATGACTGGCTGCCAGGAGTCATGATTTAGAGTGCTATGGAGCAGCCTCCTCCTCCTCCCCTGCAGCTGCTGTTGCCCATTTGTTGTTTCCTTCAGGGAGCAACATCTCAGCTCAGGTAGTATTTGGGAAGAAGTAGCCATGTGCTCAGTGAGGAAGCACTCCTAATCATGCAAGATGAGGAGAGTAAGACCATGTGGATTCCCTTGATACCAAGGCCTACTCAAAGAAGGTCTTTGCTGCAGTGTCAGCTTGAGCTGCTTTGAGTTTTACCCTTGCCCAGACCCTAAAAAAAATGTCTAGTTCAAGTTAACTGGTACTCTGACCTTGAGGTTTCTGTTCTGGAAGTGAGATGAGAGAAGCTCAGGCACTGCTGAAACTAGCTAGTAAGGCAGATGGGGTGCAGCAGATGAGTTGTAACAAATCAAATGGTAATGTAGTGGCCTTGTGTGCTTCATGGCGTTCCCTAAAGTGGTCACTCTCATTCGGCTCTCACTCAACTCAGGCTAGCTGCTGTAGTGAAATGGCCTTTTATGGCCCTTATGGGTCTGCTGAGAGTCCAAGTTCAAGAACCCAAGCCCTCCTGAGTTCTGTGTCACTAGTTTTACTTTTGCTATTTGATCACATGGAATACTACAAAGGCAAGTCTGTATGATTGTCCCTATTATACAGGTGTAGAAACTGAAGTGCCCTTGTCAAAGTCATATGACCTTCTGGGTAGTATCCTATTCACCATGCCATGATGCTTCCCTAGGTTTATCTCCGGGATTCCAAATGGGACATGGAGGTTTGAAGAAATATTCTGCTCCCTATCAGTGGGTCCAGATGCAGTGGATGAAGCTCCCATGGAGATACCCGGCTTAGCTTTAAGCCTCAGGTACTGCTAGCAGTGTAGTCTTGACTATACAGAGCTCAGCATAGCCTGTAAAACCCTGCAGAAGGTGCTAAGTAAATACTCAGGCCATTTGCTCGTACGGAGCTCAAGGCTACTGTGCAACACAGCTAATGATACGTAAGCTAGCTAGCTCATGTTGAAGTCACACTTTTATTTCTAAGCTCAGGTACATTTTCGTTATATCAACTGCAGCTTCTAACACCAGGCCCATCCTATAAGATAACTCCTCTTAAAGAAATGGTTTCTGTCAGAAGGCCAGATCTTTTTCCCATTGATATAAAAGAAAAATCTCCTAATAATAACACCCCCAACATATAGATGAGTCAGCAAAATGAGTTTAAAAGTTGCGTTAATACAAAGACACATCAATGTGCTTATTAATCTTGTTCTCCATTAAGTTTACAGTGGAAGAGAGAGGCCAATGTATATATATTTATTGTCAGCCCTTTCTTTATATTATGTTTTAATGCATGGGGAAAGGTTCATGCAGCACGTACTGTTAGATGGGGGCCCACAGTTACACTTTAGGAATTTGGGAAAAGAAAGAAATCTTAATCTAATAAAAGCAGGGGAAAAATAGACACCCATTATGGTAATACACTTATAGCTCTTCTAGTTGCTTGGCAACTGGATGTGGAATATCAGTTAAGAGGCCTATGTCTCTTCTCCTGTATTTGGGTGCATATCACAGAACATATTGTCAAAGCAGCTCAAAGTATTTAAAAATATGTCCTTGGTTTTATGTGTAAATCAGTGCAAATAAACTGATGCACTCATGCTGTGCTAAAAAAATATCTCAGGAGCACTAGTTTGTTTACAATGGGATGTAGCATGCTGAAGGTTTTATGTATGTATACATATTCTGTGCACATATTGCTGGTATCTTACCTGGAATTCTTTGGTTAAGAACTTTTATCCAGAGCAGTTGTCAAGGTCAACCCATAGGCATTCAAACATTGGTGATATTGCTTTAAATATTTATTAAAAAATACCAACATAAAGGTAAAGAGCAACACAGATGAATGAATAAAATGAATGTTAAGATAGTCAAATAGTGGGTGATGAGGCAAGTAGTGTAAGACAGGTAAAACACAGATAGACAGAGAAGCAGACTCATGTTAAACTGAATTCTGAGCCTGACAGTCTATACAGATTAGAAGAAAAATGTATCTATTAACCTGGTTGTTTGTAATTTTCATAGCCTTGGAGATAACTAAACTAATCTTCTTCCTTCAGTGAGCCGTGTTCAGTGTCTCAGTTCCATCAGTTCATGTCAGCAGGCCCATCCATGGTGGTAGAAAGTCTATTTGCGCATGCTGCCTCCATCTCTCATTCCTTTTGGGAGTGCCAGTGTTGGCCAGCATGCAGTCTCCAGAGTAAGTTTGTTCATTATCAGTAATTTGGGGTTGAAAGCCTCCACTGTGAATATGGTGACAATACTGCTATCAGCTCTATGTGGATAAATATTACCCCAAATATACAACGGTGTGTGCCTATACAGTATCTTTAAGGTTTTGGGGTGAACCAGTCAGCCTTTCAGTTAAAATTAATGGCACTTCAATGACACATTAAGCTATGCAAACATAAGAAATATGTGTACTCAGAAGTAATCTACCCATAGTTGATTATTAGAGTTCAGTGCCCTTAGTTCATTTCTCTACACCAATCTGGGGACAGGTTGTTAATTTTTCCTCTGGCCCCTGAATAGGTAATCAAGAGATGGAAGTGAATATTTCTATTGAAACATTTGCAATTTATTTTTTTGACACTGTATTTTAAACAAACTGATTAGTTACCTTTATTATTTTACACTTGATAGCACACGCTGTTTTGCTCTGTGTCATTGTTGCATGACATTCCATTTGGCGCACAGTTTATTTTTAGCCAGAGACTATCAAAGTATTTTTCAGTAAGACTGTCACTGCACTTGAACAAGGAATCATATTACTGCAAGAACTTTTCTGAAACAAAGAAGAAATATTGAACAAATGGGGAATTATAAATCTAGACCAACCCAAACTTGCACTGGTAATTAACATTGCTTCTTTAAATGCAATATAATATATATGCAACAACAAGTGGCAAATGTAATTTTAGCAAATTACTCATTGCTAATTTACTTCTGGGTTCAAGGATATGGGATGGTATTGTTTCTGGTCTATAAGAAGAATGGCTTGACTCAGATCACGTATGGTGTCTGTGAAAGAAAGGGAGGAAGCCAGCAAATTTCTTCAGACTGTTAGATCATATTAGATTAGCCTATTGTGCTGATTTAATTAATATTTCATTAGTAGAAAATTACAAACATTAGCTCTATTTTTATTCTGTGCATCCATGTTGTCAATATTTAGGATGTAAGAACTAACAAATGTAATCCTCTGGACTAAGCTTTTCATTATTAAAATGAAATACATTTTCCAAAAGATTCATATATATGTGAATATTCATACATATATCTGTGATATATCTGTAACCTGTTTTATAGCCTATATATAAGTTAATTTTATATCCTATACATGAGTTATGTGTATTTATGGCAATATTGGTTACACAAGGTAAAATAAGTAAACTTATGTATAATATTTAACACCACATTTTAACAGTAAATGTCCATAATTGAAACTGCAAGTGTTAGTAAGAAAATAATTATAATTAGACACATTTTAAAGGTGAGTTATTTGATTACTGGTAGGTTGTGATCTGTGTTCTGTTTTTTTATGACACTCAAATATATTGTGAAACACATTTGCTTTTCTTTGTTAGATGAATGGAAGAAGAAAGTTAGTGAATCATATGCTATAATCATAGAGAGATTAGAAGATGACTTGAAGATCAAAGAGAAGGAGCTAACAGAACTGAAACATGTGTTTAGGTAAGGTATTTTGGAAAGCTGCTTATTACATATAGTACTTACTCAAATCTAAGACTCAAGATTTCTCCTATTCATCTGGAGGGGGAAAAAAGCCCCTCATCTTGGATTTGAATATAAGGCAGAGGTGGGGGAAAGGGAGCTGCTGCAACTGTGACTCCAGCCCTGAGCCCAGGTTGAGGCCAGAGTCAAAGCCACAGCAGCTTTCACCCCCCTTTCTACTTGCCCCCTGTAGACATTGCCCCCCACTTGCCCCTGGGAGCTTCTGTCCCCTTGGAGCAGAGCCAGCAGCTCTGGTCCCAAGTTGCTGCTGCATGGCTGGGCGAGGGCTAATGCTAGAGCTTCCATGTGCTCTATGTCCAGGAGGGAATAAAGCTGGAACTGCACCTGACAGTAAGCAGCTGGGGAGGGGCAAAGGCTATGGGTATCACACAGGGGGGCAAAAGCTGCAGGGGGCAGGTGGGAGGAGAGAGGTTCCAGGGGTG